AGCAGTGAGTATAAATGATCCTCAGAGCCTTAAAGAATGCCCATTTCTGCTCTGCTATATGACAAAGCAATAATAAGTGGAAGCAGAAGTCATATGTATTTTCCTTTTCCCCCACTTATGTAATATTTAAAAATATCCTAAAGGAAAATGACAACCTTGGAGGTTTGAACACATAAGTGAGGCAACACACTTTCCTGCCCATTGTGAGAAAAAAGACCAAGAGAACATCTGATAGCATTAAATGTTATCATGCTAAGAATTTAAAAATCTCATATTTTTATTTAATTACATCAGTCAGTCTGTTGAACTGACTGAAGTAAAATAAAACTTAAATCAAGAGGTTAGTTTAAAGACATCAAGCTCTGTAAGTATTTTTTATTATTTAAAAAAACCTAATCTGTCATGATTCAGGGCAAAAATCAATCAATAACTAGATTGAAGGAGAAAGTGTCAGGCAATATCCCAACATCATAATCCAATGCATGTTTACTTTGCACTCAGAAGATTTTTCCCCCCAGCTCAGGTAAATGTTTATAGAACACTAACCTAAATGTAGCAGTCATTTCACACACACACACACACACACACACACATTATACATTGTTTTTATTATCCTGACAATATTTATTATTAAGGAAATACGACATTTATATGTATGCAGAGCAAAGTGTACACTGATGGTAAATTAAAATTACACCCAGAAAAGAATAACCCAAAGAAATTAATTGAATATTATTTTAAATCTGTCTAATGGTCCTTTCATGAAGTATGTTCAACAATATAACCAATAATCAAGTTTTGTAATGTTGTATTGGGAAATTCAGCACTGTATGGATATGCTATTCAAAAATATTCTAAATTGCAAATCATTTGTTTTCTCTTGAAAAAAAGAACAGATAAAGATTCATGACAGCCATGTTTAAATATATGAAAGGATAGCACATTGAAGATGGAACAGCTTTTTTTCCTGCTGTTCCAGAGATTAGGACATGAAACAACAGATTCAAACTACAGGAAGAGAGATTCTACTTAAACATTGGGAATAACTTCCTGACAATAAAAAGCTGTTCAACAGTAATATACATTGACTCAAGATTGCGATGGATACTTCTTCTCTATGCATTTGTTTGTGTATTCCTGCTATGTTTCTGTCTTTCTGTGATCCATTTCTTTCATATAAGAAATTTCTGTGGACCTCATCAAACAGCTAGGGAAGAAGCAGGAGAAATTGGGGGAAAGTAGAGGGAATCTTAGCTCTCGGCTATCTTTTCCTGTCTTCTGGGATGGCCTCCCATTCCATATGGTTTCCCATCCTTTCCACGCTTCCTCTTCATGTACTTCAATTGAAGTTGAGTAGCATCTGACTCCTCCAAAGGCACTTTGGACTCTGTTTCTCCACATTGGCAGAACAGAGCTCCACTGAGTCCCATCGGATGTTGCCCTGCATCATGTGATGGGTTCCGTGGGATTCTGTTTTGGCAATGGGAAAAAGAGACAGAGAAGACTGCATCTTACAAGGGTCCTAAGTCAAAGATTAGATGCTTATTGCTCCACTTCATTCAGATGTTGAAGTATTTTTTAGATATTGGAATCCATACAGAAATCTTTGAAAGGGTGTTGGAGAATTCCAGAACCTGTTTTATATTGTTATTCTTTTAAAATTGGTACAGGAGGCTTTTACTCCAGTATTCTTTTACATTTTATGTTCTTACCTGTGAGAACAAAATGAGTTAGGATTTGCATATCTGATCCTTTTCCTACCATCGCAAATAAAAATGCCTCCACTTCTTTCCCATGAACCAGAGTCCAAGAGCCTCCAGGTTTGGAGTTCAAGCAATGGCTGGAGGAAAGGGTTAGATCAACTATGGGAATATACCTATTCTGTGTTGTAGATTGCATCAGGGTCTGGGATACAAAGGAGTACACACCAACTACTTCATTTACAAAGTTAAACATTCCAGAAAGAAGAACCATGCAAACTCACAGACCACATGCTGGCTATAGGGATCTTGAAGGAGATAGCTGAGACCAGATAACCTTGTGAAAACTTAAGAAGTGAATGCAATTCAATCACTACAAGTATGCACTCCTAGGGTTACAGATCTGCGGCTTTAAAAAGTGAACTAATCTTTATCACCAAATACCTTCTCAGTTACAAATAATGTTTGTAATTTCTATTGATGATAATGATGATGATGATGATGATAATAATAATAATAATAATAATAATAATAATACTTTTTATTTGTTATCTGCCTCTCCACACAGCATGAGACTGAGTACAGCACAGTCAAAATACATCAGCACAAAAGAGAAGTAATTCTAGTATTCATCATCCTTTTGGAGTGGGCAAGAGAGAAATCATCCAGTAAGCAACAAAAATTACTGCCATAGCATCAAATCAGTTGCTTTTTCCAGCACAAGGAAGCTTTTATCTTTTGTTAAATTCCATACTGATTTATAATGTCAGGTCCTCCAAAGCCACCTCTTTAGAGCACTTTCAATGTTCACCCTACACTTATATCACTTCACATGAATTATGAAGGCAGTCAATGCACAAATGCTTGTTGAAGTTATATCACTGTGAAAGTTACTTACCACTGTTAAATAAAATGCCCCAGAAAGGTCTTCTGTCCATGCCCCATTTAAACATATCAGAACTGAATAACAGAATGAAATAAAACTCCCCAATGAATCTTGTCATGCAAATGCTCAAGGACAACAATTCCCTCTAGTGGAAACAATATCAAAAAGGAGTTTTTGCATTGCCTACCAAAGTTCCACAGTAGCCCTATGTACATTATTAGGATGGAATGAAACTACACACCTAACCCTATAAAATAGAGATATTTCAATTACGTGATTGCCAAGACAAGCTCATCTTTAACTCAAATCAAAAAAGTGTGAATTGTGAAAGAAATTCTATCTGTCTGTCTGTCTGTCTGTCTGTCTGTCTGTTGCTGTGAATACTGTCTCTGAAATGCTCTTTGATGCATATTTCCCAGGCAAAATTTACCACAGAAAAAATGGATATAATAAACAAAGAGTTATGACAAAATTAAAAAAAACATTGTTAACTTGATTAGGACAATATTTGCATTGGCATTTTGGAGTGCAACCACATGTTATTTAAGATATATGCCATTCTATGTGTCTAAGGGGTCAGTGTTGATAGTAAAGTGACTAGAAAGCTTTCTCCATAATAAGAAAAACCTATAGACAGGGATATGTGCTATTCTAATAATATGTTATAATATAATATATAATATTTATTTATTTACTTTGCTTATATACCGCTGTATCTCAAGCCCGAAGGCGACTCACAGCGGTTCACAAACAGCAAAAACAGTAGAAACAGTAGTGGTTCCATACAACATATAACAATTGACTTAACACATTATCCATAAATTACCAATAAGCAATTACAATGCACAATTATTACAAAAAACAACCGTACCCAATCTTCTCATCATCCAAGCGTAGTCCAGGTTCGTCGTCCATTGTTCCATTCCGATGTTCCATTACCAGATTGCACTAAATTACTCAAACGCCTGCACAAACATCCAGGTCTTCACCTTTTTGCGGAATACCATTAGAGATGGTGCTAGTCTAATGTCCGTAGGAAGGGCGTTCCACAGCCGAGGAGCCACCACCGAGAAGGCCCTATCTCTCGTCCCCGCCAGCCGAGCTGGAGAAGCAGGCGGGATCGAGAGCAGGGTCTCCCCGGAAGATCTCAAAGTCCTGGTGGGTTCATAGGCAGAGATGCGGTCAGATAGGTAGCTTGGGCCGGAACCGTTTAGGGCTTTAAAGGCCAACGCCAGCACTTTGAATTCAGCCCGGTAGCAGATCGGTAGCCAGTGGAGTTGGCGCAACAGGGGGGTTGTATGCTCCCTGCGCTCCGCTCCTGTTAAAATCATGGCTGCCGAGCGTTGGACTAGTTGGAGCTTCCGAGCTGTCTTCAAAGGTAACCCCACGTAGAGAGCGTTGCAGTAGTCTAAACGGGATGTAACCAGAGCGTGGACTACCGTGGCCAAGTCAGACTTCCCAAGGTACGGGCGCAGCTGGCGCACAAGCTTTAGCTGTGCAAATGCTCCCCTGATCACCGCCGAAACCTGGGGTTCCAGGCTCAGCGATGAGTCCAGGGTCACACCCAAGCTGCGAACCTGCGTCTTCAGGGGGAGTGCGGCCCCATCCAACACAGGCTGTAACCCTATGCCCTGTTCGGCCTTGCGACTGACCAGGAGGACCTCTGTCTCTTTGTATTAATATAATATAATATAATATATTGTGTATACATATAATATTTATAATATTGTAATGTAATGCAATATAATACTACTAATAATAATATTATAATTATATATTTATATTACATGTAATATTACTAATAATATTACAGTATAATTGATATAGTGCAATATAGCAATATTTAAAACTGATATTGTACTATGTTAATAATATATTGTATGTATATATACCTTGTAAGTTGCTCTGAGTCCCCTTTGTGGTGAGAAGGGCGGCATATAAATGTCGTAAATAAATAAATAAATATATGTGCTTGTATACACTCTGACACACTTATGTAGAGGCAGTATTTCATCCAACTGAAACTGTTCAGTATGTTAAATTTAATGCTATATATATATAGCATTGACTGCTTTTGTGCTGTTTCTCACAAATCCTTAATACTTCTCAGGATGTATGAGACATATCCCAATATCCTACTTTTTACAGTTATGCTTGTTTTGTCCTAAGCATCAGTTCTTGGCTGAAGCATAACAGAGACCATAAGTATACAATTGTTACCTTTGTCAGAACCTTGTGAGCTGAAAATCTCCTGTCACAAATATGGAGGAGGAAAAACATGCACATCTAGGAAATACTCAACACCTCCAGCACCATTGTAACAAATGTGAATCACCTGTCAAGATGAGAAGCAAATTCATGTCTTTTATGGAAAGTTTTGCAGAGAGTAGATAGGCACCAAGACTCTTACTTACAGCTGGAGAATATCAACGGGCAGGAATGTTTATCCATTGGGAAATTATGTAGCTGCAGCTGGCATTCGGCGTTGATGGTAAGTCTGGAGGGAAACCAGGTAGCTATTACAGTCTCTATATGATGACAGGTTTTTTAAAAATAAAATATCTAGTAACAGGAGGACACTGCAAACACTTCATTGGGAAAAGAGTAAAAGGGCTCATTTAAATTTTATTTCAGTTAACCTCAGGCAGAATGTATTTGCTGATAAATGAGTTTTCAGGTGTGGTTCAGGTGCAGTTCATGCTTTAGTAGAAGCAGTGAAAGAGCACTGGGAGATGGAGGAACAGATGGGTGCCACTGCCATCAATGAAAATGAATGGAAGGGCTTCTACACAAATGCTTGATAGAGTATATTCTGTTCACCTGGCTCACATTTTCCATGATACAACAATATCTAAAATCTTCAGAGCAGTGATATTCATGAAACACTGAAAGTCCATGTGGCCAAGAACGAGATTGGCCTTTGCCTGCACTGATATCCCCACCGGTCATCTTAACTGACCACAGAAGGAAATTTTGAGACAAAATATAGGCATGTGACTCCAGCATCATCATTTTTCTTCAATAATAATAATAATAATAATAATAATAATAATAATAATAACAACTTTATTCTTATACCCCACCTCCATCTTCCCGAAGGAACTCGGGGTGGCATACATGGGGCCAAGCCCAATCAACAAAATTAAATACATAACATCACTATAAAACAACAGAAAACAACATTATAACAGTGTATAAAACAAGCATCAGAAACAACAACCAACATTATAAATCAAGTATCATTGTGGACGAGCTGGTGTGCAACAATTTAGGATGTAGTGAATAAAATGCATGGGTCTTATAGTAGCAATAAGGATAAGAGTAATTTAGAGAGGATCATATTAACTTTAGATACTACGGTAGTAAAGTGCAAGGACCGATTTAGGACTTAGAAGGGCCAGCTGACCAGGGAATTGTCTAATCGAATGCACAATGGAACATCCTCATCTTAGATGGGTAGAAGGGGCGACAACTGAGAAGGCCCTCTCCTTCGTCCCCACCAAACGAGCCTGAGACGAAGGTGGGAGCAAGAGAAGAGCCTCCCTAGAACATCTTAGGGAACATGTGGGTTTATGAGGGAATATGCAGTCATGAAGACAAGCAGGTCCCGAACCATTTAGAGCTTTATAAGTGATAACCTGCACCTTGAACTGGGACCAGAAACTTATTGGCAGCCAGTGGAGCTGTTTAAACAGGGGGGTTGACTGCTCCCTGTAACTTACTCCAGTTAACAACCTGGCATCTGATCTTTGCACCAACTGCAATTTCTACTGTATGATTTTAATATCTTTGCCTGATGAAGAAGCCAGTGTGATATTTTTGCATTCTAATTGGCCCAATAAAGGAATCACTGTTTGACACATAAGTATTGTGTTTTTCTGCATGGATTACATGGGTACTCTAGAATATGTTACATGTATCTCCATTCTTTCTTCATATGAAAGTTGTTGCTACAAATGAATTTGTATATTGTTTACACCACAAATGCTAACCAATGCAGTTTTTTAGAAACTCTTTTTTTAAAATAACAAGACATCATGAATGAAATTATAGGCTGATCTAGATTGGCCATTTATATTGTAATATCATGGTTTTTAGTCCTGTGGCTGACTGTTTTGTTGCCAAGATATAGGCCATTTATTACTAATTCCAGGACATATTGGGCTTCCCCTCTCCAGTTCCTTCCCAAATCTTTGTTTTTACCAGCAGGAATGTTTTTTCTCTTAAAACTGATATGTTCTAGAATGCTAAGCTTCTTTTTGTTCTCTTTACTCTTCTCCTGCACATTTTAAATGGGAGCTGTAGTTCTCTGTGAGTGGGTGGGGGCATGCTTGCATGCACCCCTCCCTGGCATGGTCTACATGAGTGGAAGAGACAGAAAAAGAAGTTGAGGAAAAAATGTCCTTGTCTTTTCCAACTGTTTTGTAAAACTGCTCAGGGGTGGGTGGATTGAGTTGAAGGGGAGAGGCTTCAGAAAGATGAGAAGGGGTGGGGAAAGAGATAGTCGAGACTCCGATTTTCAATTTAATGTGACAGAATAGTCACTTGTTGTGTGTGTATGGGGGAGATGATCTAATTCATCATAATAATTGATAAAGAAGAGCAGAGCATGCATTTTTTAAAGAGCATGTAGGAATGAGGAAATATAAAGAACCATCCCAAAGTGACATTGAGTTTAGCTGATTAAATTGGCACTAGATGCCAGTTTGGGGGAGCTCAATAAAAAGCCAGTGCAGTCTTGAGCTGATAAGCAGAACTGTGGTGTCTAGGGAAGAACTTTGTAAAGTTATTTTGCACTACAATTTTTATAATTCTTCCATCCAGCATGGTTGCTAGCCATGGTGATTGTGGGACTGTATGAGGTGTAATTAAAAAAAAACTTTACCATTCTGTTGAAGACCATGGGAGATAATAGTGCCATTCTATTCTGCTTTAGCCAAACTACATTTTTGAGTACTGAGCTCAAAACAGTGTAGTGAGAAAGATACTGATCAACTAGAATACATTCAGAGAATAATGACTAGGCCATTGTGGAACCTGGAAGCCATGTCTTTCAAGGAATGGTTGAAAGAGGTGACTAAGTTTATGCTGAAGATGAGAAGATTAAAGGTAGCCATGATATCCGTCTTTGAATATCTGAAATGCTGAATGCAGAAGGTGGAGCAAAGTTCTTATTTGATGTTCCGTGTGGAAAGACTAGATGGAAATTGCAGGAAAGCAGATTTTAATGCAGTAGTAGGACAAAACTTCTAACAGTGAAACAAATTCAGCAGTTAAACGGACAGCCATGGAAGGTGATACATTCTCATTTGCTGGAACTATTTAGTCAAGGAGTGGACCATCTATTTATTGCGGATCTGATAGTTGGATCTTGCACTGCAGAATCTGCATGGAGTAGTAAGATTAGACAAAGGCCCCTTCCAACTTTATGGAATTCTACCAAGGTAAAAAAAAAACTATTTAAAGCAGAATACAATAAGAAAGTAGCATTCCAGTGGTGAAAATATTAAATCGAAACATATCAATACCTTAACAACAATATCATATGTTTCCAGTGACATACTATTTCACCCAAATTAAGGATGCTATTCCTTGTAAGAACAGAAAAGCTAAAATTGTGGAATCTTTTAACTATGTGCATAGTTTAATCTTCACATTTGTTACATTTTATAACTGCTTCACTTCTGTGCACCCAAGGCAGTTTTAAATAATTAAAAATAGACTATAACATATTTCCTAAGAAAATATCATATTTGTTGAAATGACCTAAGCAAAAATACTGATGTTCAGTGAAATGTGCACTGAAATGTACAATCAACTTTCAGAAAATTTAGGAAGACTATGCATGTGATATCTACCAGAAAACATAATGAGATACCATTTCAGAAGGATCTTTGCAGAAAAGTCCTATGTATGACTGCTTTGAAAAGTATGAATTGTCAAACTTTAACTGAATGTTATGCAAGTCTAACATTTTTATTGTCTCCTTAATTACGTCAGGGCAAACTTGATGCTACTTAACAGAATGAACTGTGCTTGGATGACTAGCCGCAATCCATGGGTTCATGTGTTTTCCCTTCTGACTTTCTTGCTTGGACATTTATCTTTTCTTTTAGTTTTACAGCTACCTACAATCAGTTTGACTTAATAAACTCACATCAAATCACAGTATCCAGCAATGTCATTCTGCTAGTCTTTATGCCATCACACCTGCAGGTATTTATTTCCAGACTATATGTAAAGGGAGAACCCAGTACAGTTTCCAGGTATGGGAGAATCTCAATGATCATCCACAGTCTCATAAATACATATACGCTTCTATTGAACCAACTAACAGGCATTAACTTTATTAACCTTTTGAATGTGTATAGATAATTCTGCAGATACTTAGAACTGATCCCTTAATTAAAGTAACTGAATAAATCCAAATTTCTGAGTGAATATTAGAACACACCAACAATTTGCAGAACAGTTTGATAATAAACTAACTTTTAAGATTAGTTTTTATTTTATTTTATTGTAGTTGAATTGCAATTTAAAAGGTGAATGGCAAATCCTGCCCTTTCTGACAACAATAGATGTTTTTGTAACCTATTACCACAAGGCATTCTGTGGATCAGTCAAGTAATTTATTAGGTTGCCTGGACAGTTTCAATGCATTTCAGAATTACAGCTGTTGGAAGACGATACAATTTAAATGAAGATTTTTCTGCTTCTAAACAGTAATTTATAAGACTAAAATGCCCTAATGGTGTCATTCATTAATAGGCAAATAAGTTGGCTTCCTACCTTAAAGTATACAAGATTTTCCCATCATTCCATATTCTCAAGAGCTGGTTTGGTGTTGTAATCCAATGAGCTTCTGCAGTTTTAGAATTCCTGAAGATGGTATCTGGGATCCAAATTAACCCAACCATGTTGCTATTCAGGGTGAGACTTCTTTTCATGGTGCTGTTAAAACGGAGACGGCTGTCAGTCCATGTCTGAGCAAAAAATATATCAATTTGGTATTCCTGCAATCAGAAAAGATTACAATCAAATATTTACAAGAGCTGATGCATTTCTAAAAATCTTCACATCTCATTTTCTACCCATATTCCTAGAAATGATGAGGAACGAGACTTGTTTTGGGATAATTAAAATGACAACCTTATTAATGAATAACAGGGAAGATCTACAACAACTCTTTCTGATTGCAGCTTGCCAATGGGTGGGGTGACCTATCTGCCACCATTCTAGAAAAAGATAAAAAGCAGCCAATCTGCAAATGTGACAGGGGATGTGTGGCATAAAAAACAGGAAGGAAGCTGTCATACTACACCCATCTTCTTCCATCTATCTTCAGAGAGTTTGTTAGCACTCACTATTGGCTATATTCTACTTGGTTTTATTCTCCTTAAATAGGCACGTCCAGACATGGATGCTTTACTTTTGGTGTGGTCTAACAAAAAGAGAATAGAGTGGTACACGTGGACATTATACAGGGTTAGTCAAAATGAATAGGCCAATAAGAAAATTAATTTTAGACGAATGTATGTTTATTGTAACCAAACTACAGCTACGTAGCGACAGATAAACTATCAAAGTTTTGTCTCACCTTCAGAGATGTTCGATATGGGCGCCCCGTGTGACACGGCAGATGTCCAAGCGATAGTCCAGTTCATTCCACATCCGTTGCAGCACATCCGACGTAATGGCATCGAATGCAGCAACGTCTGGGAAGGTGTTCGTTGAGGTCCTAACCCTAACCCTAACCCTAACCCTAACCCTAACCCTAACCCTAACCCTAACCCTAACCCTAACCCTAACCCTAACCCTAACCCTAACCCTAACCCCAACCCTAACCCTAACCCTAACCCTAACCCTAACCCCAACCTAACCCTAACCCTAACCCTAACCCTAACCCTATCCCTAACCCTAACCCTAACCCTAACCCTAACCCTAACCCTAACCCTAACCCTTGAAATTCTCGCTGGACCGTAATTACTGACATTGTTTTAGCAAATGTCATCACACAAAACGCCTTCTCTTTGCTTGATTCCGCCATTTTGAAAACAGCGACCCCTAGCGACGCCTAGCGGCATTAACGTACATGTGTGTTGCTCAAAAAAAACTTTGATAGTTTATCTGTCGCTACGTAGCTGTGGTTTGGTTACAGTAAACATACATTCGTCTAAAATTAATTTTCTTATTGGCCTATTCATTTTGACTAACCCTGTATTTACGAATTTAGCACCAAATATATTCGATTACCATATATACTCGAGTATAAGCCAACCGAATATAAGCTGAGGCACCTAATTTTACCACCAAAAATGGGAAAACTTATTGACTCGAGTATAAGCCAAGGGTGAGAAATGCAGCTGCTACTGGTTAATTTCAAAACTAAAATTAGATATGAATAAATTGCATTAATTGAGGCATAAGTGGGTGAAATGTTTTTGAATATTTACCATATTTCAAAGAAAAATAGTAAACTAGCTCTGTAAGTGAAAAAGGAGGGTAAAAAAACCCAATATGGTATCAACAATAATTTTATAATAATAATAAAACTCCATTTGTATCCCACCCTATCTCCGCATGGAGACTCAGGGCGGCTTCCAACATAGTAACAGGCAAACATTCAATGCCTATATAAACAGAAAAACATAAAAATTCCAAGCAAAAAAGGCAATACTAAACATTGTACAATAAGTTAAAATAAACAGTTGCATTAAATAATTATCATTAAAAGAAACCCCAACCACAGCTGCTGAAGAAGCAGAAGTAGATCAGTTCTATGAGGATCTGCAGGACCTACTGGATAATACACCAAAAAGAGACATTATTTTCATTACAGGAGACTGGAATGCCAAGGTGGGAAGTCAAATGACAACTGGGATCACAGGCAAGCATGGTCTGGGAGAACAAAACGAAGCGGGACGCAGGCTGATAGAATTTTGCCAGGAAAACTCGCTGTGTATAACGAATACTCTCTTCCAACAACCTAAAAGACGGCTTTACACATGGACCTCACCAGACGGTCAACACCGAAATCAGATTGACTACATGCTTTGCAGCCAAAGGTGGCGGACATCCATCCAGTCGGTGAAAACAAGACCTGGGGCTGACTGTAGCTCAGATCACGAACTTCTTATTGCCCAATTTAGAATAAAACTAAAGAGATCAGGGAAAATACACAGACCAGTTAGATATGATCTCACTAACATTCCTAGCGAATATACAGTGGAAGTGAAGAACAGATTTGAAGGAATAGATTTAGTAAACAGAGTCCCAGAAGAACTATGGACAGAAGTCCGAGACATTGTTCAGGAGGCGGCAACAAAGTACGTCCCAAAGAAAAAGAAAACCAAGAAGGCAAAATGGTTGTCTGCTGAGACACTGGAAGTAGCCCAAGAAAGGAGGAAAGCAAAAGGAAACAGGGATAAGGGGAGATATGCCCAGTTAAATGCGCAATTCCAGAGGTTAGCCAGAAGAGATAAGGAACTATTTTTAAATAAGCAATGCATGGAAGTGAAAGAAGACAACAGAATAGGAAGGACAAGAGACCTCTTCCAGAAAATTAGAAACATTGGAGGTAAATTTCAGGCAAAAATTGGTATGATAAGAAACAAAGATGGCAGGGACCTAACAGAAGCTGAAGAGATCAAGAGAAGGTGGCGAGACTATATAGAAGATCTGTATAGGAAGGATAATAATATTGAGGATAGTTTTGACGGTGTGGTGAATGAATTAGAACCAGACATCCTGAGGAGTGAGGTTGAATGGGCCTTAAGAAGCATTGCTAACAACAAGGCAGCAGGAGATGACGGGATCCCAGCTGAACTGTTTAAAATCTTAAAAGATGATGCTGTCAAGGTGATGCACGCCATTTGCCAGCAAATATGGAAAACACAAGAATGGCCATCAGACTGGAAAAAATCAACTTATATCCCCATACCAAAAAAGGGAAATGCGAAAGACTGCTCAAACTTCCGTACAGTGGCCCTTATTTCTCATGCCAGTAAGGTAATGCTCAAGATCCTGCAAGGAAGAATCCAGCAAGACATGGAGCGAGAGTTGCCAGATGTTCAAGCTGGGTTTAGAAAAGGCAGAGGAACGAGAGACAAAATTGCCAATATCCGCTGGATAATGGAGAAAGGCAGGGAGTTTCAGAAAAACATCTACTTCTGCTTCATTGACTATTCTAAAGCCTTTGACTGTGTGGATCATAATAAATTGTGGCAAGTTCTTAGTGGGATGGGCATCCCAAGCCACCTTGTCTCTCCTGAGGAATCTGTACAAGGACCAAGTAGCAACAGTCAGAACTGACCACGGAACAAAAGACTGGTTCAAGATTGGGAAAGGCGTACGGCAAGGCTGCATCCTCTCACCCAACCTTTTTAACTTGTATGCAGAACACATCATGCGATGTGCGGGGCTTGATGAATGCAAGGCTGGGTGAAAATTGCTGGAAGAAACATTAACAACCTCAGATATGCAGATGACACCACTCTGATGGCCGAAAGCGAGGAGGAGCTGAGGAGCCTTCTAATCAAGGTGAAAGAAGAAAGCGCAAAAGCCGGGTTGCAGATAAACGTCAAAAAAACCAAGATTATGGCAACAAGAATGATTGACAACTGGAAAATAGAGGGAGAAACCGTGGAGGCCGTGACAGACTTTGTATTTCTAGGTGCAAAGTTTACTGCAGATGCAGACTGTGGCCAGGAAATCAGAAGATGCTTACTTCTTGGGAGGAGAGCAATGTCCAACCTCGATAAAATAGTAAAGAGTAGAGACATCAGACTGGCAACAAAGATCCGCATAGTCAAAGCCATGGTATTCCCTGTAGTAACCTATGGATGTGAGAGCTGGAACTTAGGGAAGGCTGAGCGAAGGAAGATAGATGCTTTTGAACTGTGGTGTTGGAGGAAAGTTCTGAGAGTGCCTTGGACTGCGAGAAGATCCAACCAGTCCATCCTCCAGGAAATAAAGCCCGACTGCTCACTGGAGGGAAAGATAATAGAGACAAAGTTGAAGTACTTTGGCCACATCATGAGGAGACAGGAAAGCCTAGAGAAGACAATTATGCTGGGGAAAGTGGAAGGCAAAAGGAAGAGGGGCCGACCAAGGGCAAGATGGATGGATGGCATCCTTGAAGTGACTGGACTGACCTTGAGGGAGCTGGGGGTGGTAACGGCCGACAGGGAGCTCGGGCGTGGGCTGGTCCATGAGGTCACGAAGAGTCGGAGACGACTGAACGAATGAACAACAACATTAAAAGAAAATTTAAAAAACAGCCGAGGTAAAGTATCATATCAGTTCCCTTTTGCCTTCTGTCAGGCTTCTCCTATTGATACAGCCTAGAATAGCATTGGCCTTTTCAGCTACAGCATCACACTTGTTGGATCATGTTCTGCTCGTGGTAGACTACGACTCCTTTCATAGAATCCTAGAGTTGGAAGGGACCTCTAAAGGCCATCTAGTTCAACTCCCTTCATTCTACCTTCATGTAGGGAAAGCACAATAAAAATGTGCATTAGGATTGTGATTTCCCCCCCCCCCTGATTTTCAGGCTTGTCCCCTTGTATGGTGCCTCAAGTCCCTTCGGGGAGATACTGGCGGGGTATAAAAATAAAGTTGTTGTGGTGGTGGTTGTTGTTATATAGCACCCCGACAGATGGCAATATCCTTAATGATAATCATAATAGTAATAGTGTTGGAAGGGACCTCTAAAGACCATCTAGTCCAACCCCTTTCTTCCTTCATGCAGCTGAAGCACAATCAAAAGTTGTTGTTGTTGTTGTTGTTGTGGTTGTGGTGGTTGTTGTTGTTATATAGCACCCCGACAGATGGCAATCTATCCTTACTGATAATCATAATAGTAATAGTAATAGTAATAGTGTTGGAAGGGACCTCTAAAGACCATCTAGTCCAACCCCCTTCTGCCTTGATGCAGCTGAAGCACAATCAAAGCACCCCTGATAGATGGCTACCAAGCCTTAATAATAATAACAACAATAATATTAATACT